TGATTTGGGACACACCCTACACTAATCCTGTCTCATTAACATAACAAAGACAACCCATTCCCAAATGGGATTATAACCATGGGCATAGAGGTTAGGATTTACAACATGTATTTTTTGGGGACACAGTTTAATCCATAACATTCTACCTTCTGGCCCCCCAAAGTTCATGTCCTTCACACATGCAAAACACACTTACCCCATCACATCATCCCAAAAGTCTCAAATCAACTCCAAGTCTGAAATCTCGTCTTCTGAATCATCTGCATCAAATATGGGTGAGACTTTAGGTGTATTCCATCCTGGGGCAAAATTCCTCTTCATCTGTGAACCTATTTAATCTAGACTACAAGTTATTTATTTTCAAAGTACAATGGTGGAACAAGCACAAGGTAGACATTTCCATTACAAATGGGAGAAATTGGAGGAAAAGGGAAATGGGCACCAAGCAAGTCAATGCTTGAAAAAAAGTCCTCTATTCTCTGAGACCATCTGAGCAATGGCCCTGCCCTCCAGACTTTGGGTGTTGGCCGTGCCTTCTTTATTCTGGGTAGAGAACCCTCAGCCCTAGGCTTCAGCTCCACCTTCCAGGCCCACTGGGATGGCAACTCTGCTCCCTTGGCTTTGGACGGCCCCATTCTCCTAGTCAATCTGAGTAGTGACCCCACCCCCTTGGTCCTGGCAGGCTCTGTTCTATCCCTTGGGCATGGCAGCGCTGCCCCCTCAGCTTTGGAACGTCATCCCCCTGGCACACCTTAATGGCAGCCCCACACTCTGGGACCGAGTTGGTGAAGATCTGACTCTAGGAGACCGTGGCCCCACCCTTTGAAACCGAGAAGGCCCTTCTTCCCATGCTCTTTCCAGCAGTTCAGCTGATCTGTGAGCTGCTCCAGGGATGGCCCTTTTCTTTTCTTGGACAACAGATGTAGCTTCTTTGTCCTGTTTCCTGCCTGTAGAGTTCCAAGAGGCAGACAGTGTTCTTTCCTTTTGTTCTTTCTCTGTCCCCTTCAGTCTAAGCTGATGGGTTTTTTGCTGTGGTAGTTGGTTTGATCCATCAGTCACAGGCTTAATGTCTTTAACAAAAGATTGTGTAGCCATGTCCTTGGTGAACATTCTAGGACACATGTCCTTAGTTTGTACAACAGAATTTTAAGTTCTGTTTTTATTTTGCCCAGTTCATTTTTAAGTCCATCTCTTTCTTCTTGCATTTTACTATAAGCGGCAAGGAGAAACCATGTGGCCCCTTTAAGATCTTGCTTAGAAATCTCCTCAGCCAAATATCCAGATTTGTCACTTACAAGTTCTACCTTCTGCCAAACATTTGAACATAATTCAGACAAATTCTTTGCAACTGCATAAAAAGCTTCGCCCTTCCTCCATTGTCTAATCACATATTCATTATTTCCTTTGAAAGCCTCACCAGAAGCAAATTTAACGTCCACATTTCTAGCAACATTCTGTTGCTGGTGCCATATGTATTCTCTAAGACGATAGAGAATTTCTCTATAGCTCTTCTCATTTCGAGCCTTCACCAGAATTGCCTTTGGCATCCATAATTCTACCAACAGTTCTTCAAGGCAATCTAGGCTTTTACTATTAGGCACCTGAAAACTTGTCCAGCCTCTACCCAGTACCCAATTCCAAAACTGCTTCCACATTTCAGGGGTCTATTAGAGCAGCCCTCCACTCTCGGTACAAATTCTGTCTTAATTATCTAGTCCTGTTATAACAGAAATAACATAAATGAGTGGCTTTAACAAACAAATTTATTTTCTCACAGTTTAGGAGGGTAGAAGTCTGAATTCAGGGTGCTGGTTCTAGGGGAAGGCTTTCTCTCTCTGTTGGCTTTGGAGGAAGGTCCTTGTCTCTTTGAGCTTCTGCTCCTGGGCAGTCTTCATATGGCTTGGCATGTCTCTTCCCCTATCTCTGCTTGCTAGCTTGCATTTAGTCTCCTTTATGTCTCAAAAGAGATTGACTCAAGATTCACCCTACATGAATCCTGTCTCATTGACGTAAGAAAGACAACCCATTCCCAAATGGGATTATAACCACAGGCATAGAGGTTAGGATTTACAGCGCATTTTTGGGGGACATAGTTCAGTCCATAACACATGGCAAAGAAAGCTTTAACAGCAGAAATTGTTCAATAGTAGAGTGGCTTCACCTGATGATAACGAGGCCCTGCCCTGAAGGTGTCCAAGTAGATGGGTAGCTAAAGATGGTTCTCATTAATCTCTTGGTTGCAGAGACTGCCTCAGGCCACCTTGAGGAAAGGGGCTTTCTGGAGGTTGAGTGAGGCCCTCAGACCGGAGGGATCCCCCATGGGCCATTTGATCCCTTATACTGGCTCATGCTCTCCCTCCACTGTCAGGAGAAAGCCACCTCAGGCCTCGGCACCGTCACACTGTTGGTAGGGACCCCTCCTGGTCGCAACATCATCTCATAGCTTCTCTCTGGACATTCTTGGAGGGTCAGTTCACAATTCAGGCTGTCCAAACATATAGGAACTGAGGCTCAGAGAGGGGAAGCAACTTGCCTGTTGTAGAAAGAATTTCTCTATTAGACAGCCGTTGGATCAGATGCCTTCTAAAATTCTGACTGACTAGATGGAAATTGAAGCTTCTGGTTTTTAAAAAATGGATAGCCTGCAGCTTTTCAGGAGCACATCCTGTGCATAAAGGGAAGTCTACCTGCAGTTAGAGAGCATGTAATGTGCTGAGTGTGAGATACAGCCAGATCTCCAGTGTCTTCCTTCTCATCATTTCCAGGTGGATTAAACTCCTCTGCTGTTGGAGGAGAAGTCGTTCAAATGCCTGCATTTCCTCAAAATTTTCCCAATTTAAGATTTTAAAAATCAAAATGGATCTTTCACTTGACATGTACATTTAAAGTAGTAGTGGTGAGTTTTTGTTTCTGAGAAGGTTTTGCCAAATCAGTGGTATAGTTTGAAATCACTGGTGTCTTAAAATCCAGGAAACATGGTAGTTTGTTTTGTACCCTATTGAAATTCTGGTTTGAGGTTTGATATTGGGGCTCTGAAACTGCCAAAGCTGTTTTCTGGTATCAGTTAAAAGAACACTCAACTTTAACGAGTTTCTCTGTATATCTGTAGTTGGGAGAATGGGTATCGCTAAGGCCCTGCAGTCAGATCTTATCAACAAAGACAGACCTGGGGTTGAGGGGCCAGATGGGCATGTGATACATGGGAATTCTTTGGAATCTAGTAATCCCAGCCTTTCCCTCTGTGAGCCTCAGTTTTCTCATCTGTACATTGGAGGAACTGGATCAGATGTTATCTACATCCACAACTGCTAGAACTTCCTGTTGACTCACTGTGGGCACCCCGTTTCGTTTAGTTAACTAGAAGGTTCATCCCCTGACCTGTTGCATAAGCGAGTGCATTGTAGCTGGTGGGAGGCAGCATGGCCTGGGTTGTGTGGGTCTTTGGTTTCCATTCCCTGCATGTTTGGGGATTGCCTGGAAACCCCTGTTCCTTTGTAAATTACCTGACCTAAAGGCTTGATCCCTGCTTTTCTCGCATTAGGGAGGGGAGGAAAGGGAGTGTTCTCCTGTCCTGGTTCTGCCTTTAGGTTGTGAGATGGGTAACAGTTCAAGAGGAGGGTGGTTTGTGTCAGGGTGTAGAGGGGGGCTAGTTTGCCCTGGGCTGTAGACCCTCGGTTGTTTAGCTCCAAGGCTGCTGTCAGACCTGTGCTGCCTCCCAGATAAAGACCACTGAAGGAAAAGGACCTGCCCTGCCTTTTGTGTCTCTGAGGCCCCAGCTCTGCCAGGGCCCCGCCCTCTGTTCCTCCAACCAGTAAGTCACAGTAGTGCATTTCCTTCCGGCAGAGAGAGAATTAAGGACTGGGCCCAACCCAACCCCACCATGTCTGGTGAAATTAAAAAGATCCATAATCTACTACTTTAAAATGATTTTAAGAGTAGAGTGAGTGTGTATGTATATTTGTGTGTGTAGGGAGAGATACACAAATACCTTTCTTTTTTTTTAACCAGCATTACTCTGTACATTAAGTAAAAAAGCATATGTAGAGTGCCCAGCCTACAAATGCTAGTCTCGTCCTCTTTGCCTCTCAGAGGTATGTAAACTCATGAATTCCCAGAAGCTCACTCCTTGGAAGAAGCCCATGCACTGGACACACCATCTGGCTAAGCCAGGGATTCCCACCCTAGCCTGCCTCAGCCTGAGTTGGTGCCTTAGCTTGAGTTGGTCTGGTCTGCCTGCCTGGGGTGGGTCTTGATGCTGAGGTATTTTCCCCACTTTCAGTGCCCACTAGAATGACAATTCCATGAGGGCAGGGACTTTGTTTTTGTCACAGGAGGGCTTCCCTACAGCCTTCCCAGGACCCTAGCCCTAGAACAATGCTTGGCACCTAATAGCTGCTCAGTAAATAGATGTTGAACAAATACAAGAGGTGGTATTTGACAGGGCTTTGAAACGTGTGTAGGATTTTGATAGGTAGAGACAACTTGAAAAACGTTCCAGCAAAGGGACTGGCATGAGTAAAGGTTAAAAGGTGGGAAAGGGCTGGGGCATAGTTGGGGAAACAATGAATAACTAGTTTTGCTGGGTGAAGAGGTGAGCATGATATTTCTATACTTGCTTGACTAGTTTTTGTGTCCAATCCTGCACCTTGCACACAGGCCCTATGAAGAGGCTTATTTACCGAGTCAGACCCAGGACTGATGTGTACAGAAGACACTCAGGCCTCTGCCTCTAGAGAGGCATGGTGACCTCTGGCCCCTTGGCACTTTAGGGGAATGGGTACTTGAACCTGGTGCCTTTCTGGCTTACACTTTCCTGGCAGGGGCAGAGTTCTCTCTGTCATCATCTTTAGGGACTTGATGAGTTAGCAGCTACCAAGGGAATAGCATGGGTGGGGGAACAGGGAAAGAAATGGCAGCCCAACCAGGCTGGTGGCTGGGACTTAAACCAGGGCCTATATTTCTCTTGGCATCTTTGACGTGCCCTGCCCTCTGCTCCACAGGCTGGAGGAAGTCTCCCTGGAGGTGCTGAGGCAGAGGGAATCCAAGTGGCTGGATATGCTCAACAACTGGGACAAATGGATGGCCAAGAAGCACAAAAAGGTGAGGGTTCCTGGGCCTTGAGCTAGGAGTTGGCAGCCTGGGGAGGTGGAGGAAAAGGGAGGAACCTCATCAGCTTTGGGGAGCAGGGGCTTCGCCAACAGTCAGACTGCTTTAGGTATCCCCCCGTCTGCCATCCCTGAGATGGGAAACAGAAGCTGGACAGGGCCAGCCTTCACTCAGGCCCTGGCAGATGACTTCAGAGGAACACAGAACTTTGTCCTGGAGTCAAATTTCAAAGCCACTTTTAGCCTAAACCTCTTACAGCTTTTCTTTAGCCATCCTGGGAGAAGTCCTTAAGTTTGCTTACCACCTGTTAGGAAGAACTTTGTAATACTGGTAATAGCTGATGTGTGTTGAACATTTGCAGTGGGTCAGGAACTTGGCTTGGACAGTCCTTACAATACACTGTTGGGGTTGGTGGTAGTAGTAGCTCCTCTTTACAGATGAGGCCTAGGTTAAATGGCCTGCAGAACTGAGATCTCAGAGCTGGCACTCTTAACCACTGAAATAAGGTGCCTTAATTTGCTGACTTCTCTCTTGCCTCCTCGCCCAAGCAACAACAGAAGTAGCCTCACATTTAAAAAACTATCTTATAAAAATGAAAACACCCTGTGGTCTTTTTCAAGTCAGGCTATCTTTAGGTACTAGCTCTTTCCCCCATAGGAGCATCCTTGCCCACCACTCCTGTCTGTAGTGATACCGTTGGCCACCCTCTGCAGCTTCTGCTCCTTGGGCCAGAGGGTCTTCAGCTAGCCTGAGGACGCCTGTCCAGAGCCTCACAGCTGAGGTCTCTCAGCGCAGTTTCCCACAGTCATTAGCTGACACACTGGTCTGGTCCAGGCTGGTGCAGCTGGCTACAGGACATGGCAGAAAGTGCAGACCACAGGCCAGGTGTGGGTTGGGCGTAGCTCCACTCCCTTCCTCTCTTCTTGCTCATGGCTAGCTGTGTAACTTTGGGCAAGTCACTTCATGCTCTCAGCCTCTGTTTCCCTTGTCAAGTGGGAGCGATAGTCTTGTTGCCTGGCTTCCATGAGGTGGTGACTAAAGTGCCTTAGAGACTGTAAAGCCCTGTGCCTGTGGGAGGAAAGGCCAACCCAGGTCTTTCTTGCTGTTCTGTGTGGGCTTTGGGGCATTCATTTTTCTTCTTTACTTACTAGAAAATCTTTCTCATTTTCCTCTGAGCCTTCCTTAACTGCTTCCTGCCTAACTCTGGGGTCTGTTTTCCTCTCACCTCACCCCTCAGGCTCTTGTCTAGCTTCAGCTAGCTCTCTAGCTGTCTGTTGTGGTGACTTGTGGCTGGCAGGGACTGTGGCTCTGGCCATGCCCCAGCCTCCCTTGCAAATGGATTCCAGAGGGGAGCCTTGGGGAGCTCCTCTCTGAAGAGCAGCCAGCAGCACTTCCTCTTCCCTTTTGCTTCCCTGGCACTGTGATTAGAGCCTGAGGGCTGCCCCTGCCCAACAGAAGCTACCACAGGAGTGCTTCTCCCCACCTCATCCAGAGGCCCTAGCCCTCTGCTAGCACCACTTGGGAAGGGGACTGCTACACGGTGCCACCGCTGCCGCCTCAGCTATGGCTGTACTAGCCTTACCCTGGAAGCTCTTCCTGCCTGGCCATGGAGGCTTGGGCTCTCCTTTTTTCTTTAAAAAAAAAAAAGCAAAAAGAAAGTTTTATTCGGCATATATGCAAAAAGGCAAAAGTGGGAAGCGGACAGCCATGTTGCCAGAGCCACGTCTGCCCGAGTCCAAGGAAATATCACAGAACAGACAAAAGTGGGAAAACGGACAAGCATGCTGCCACAGCCATGTCTGCCAGAGTCCAAAGACCAGTTACAGAGCCATCAATATATATTAACATTACAAATGGGCAAAACGATTGAAAGTTTAGCCTTTTCAGATTGTCTTTCTTAACAATCATCGGTACAAGTTTCAGTAACGAGAGTCAGGAGGGTCTTCACTGGGCCAACAAATTTCTATTCACTAAATGCTGATAGAAGAAGAATGAGTGGAAAGTCTTTTGTGTTCTGTTTGATCAGCTTTATGTGAAAATTTCCCTAAAAGATATTTTCCAAGATTATCTTAGCTATTGTCTTTATACCTCAGGGCCCAGTTGATGTGTCCTTGTGAGTTCTTGTGAGCCCAGCTCCAGCTGGGTCACATTCTCTGTGCTCAAGGACAGGGAATAAATGATTCCAGTATTATTTTCTAAATCATCTTGGGCTCTCCTTTCGTTTGTTCAGGAAGGTCATGGCATAGGAAGGGCAATACCTGTCTCAGGAAGTGGCCCCAGACCTAGCTCTTCTCCTGGACTCATCCTGAGGCCCCAGGAGAAGGACCAGGCTCTGCTGGAGGGTGCCCTTCTCAACCCCAGCTGTGTCAAGGTCAGAACTCAGCAGCAGGGAGGCAGGCTGTGACTGAAATGCTGTCTTCCCCTGTGGGGCTCTGCCCTGGAGTCTGTTCAAGCTGTGACCCTGCCCTCCCAAATTCAGCAGGCAAGAATGTGGCCTCACTCAGCTGTCATCAGAGACCTTCTTTCCTGAGGTATAGCCTCAGAGAATGTAATCCCTTAGCTTTCTGCTTACTGGAGCACTTTCTCATGCTTTATCTTTACTGATGTCCACCATAGCTCCCTTCCTAAGGCAGGCAGGGTAGAGATTACCATCTCCTGCACCATTGTGCTGAGGAGGATACTGAGGTCACAGAGGCAAAGGCTGCCCTTACTCCTGGCTCTCCCTGAGCCCTGGATGCCCATGTGGTGAGGGCAAGGCCTCTCAGGGAACCCTCCTGGCCCTGGGGGCAGCCTGAGGGCTTGTGGCTGTGGGCCATCCATTTGCCAAAGCCTGCCCAGACAAAGTGGCTTCCTTAAGGAGAGACCCTTTTTCCACAGCAGCAGGAAACTGTTCTCAGGGTCTGGGGCAGTTACCTTCCTCTCCCGCCTTTGCAGGCAGTCCCAGAAGCTCCAGCTTGCCTCCTGTGACTGCCACAGCTGCTCTTCCCCTACTGCCCTTGGCCTGGCTGCCTGTCTCTTTCCTGGTTCTTGACTATCTCTGACACTTGGAAAGTTTTCTCCTGCTTGCACTGGTCATCAGTAAAGCTGGGGCTTCTGTTCTCCCTACACTTGACTGTTTGAGGGGGTGAAGGAAAGTTAGATATGCGCCTGAAGCCCTGGGGCTTCTGTGTCAGCCAAGGTTCCAGGATGGAGGGTGGAGATGAAGCCATCATTTATTAAGCAGATACAGTGTGTCAGGTCCAAGCTAGGCACACTTTTCCCCTTCTAACAGAATCCTCTCAACAACTATGCAGAGTAGGTATTGTCATTCCAGTCTTACAGTTCATAAGAAGTGATTGGCTCAAGGTCAACAGAGCTGTTGTATGGTAAAACTGGATTCAAACCCATAGCCATGTGCTGTTTCCACTACCTTGTGTTCCCCATCTCCCTTCATCCCAGGCCAGGCTGCTTCATGCAGAGGGTATCATTAGCCAATTCCTCTGGAACCCCCGCCACCACATTCCATAGGAGTGGTGCCCCTGCTCTTGCCGTCATCCTCTTTGACCCTTGACCTTGAGAGGACAGTCAGGGAAGCTGCCTTCAGAGGCTTATTCTGGCCCCAAGCCCAGGAGGAGCCCAGCGTGCCTTCCCTGTTCAGCTCCAAGAGGTCAGTCAAGTGGAAAGTACATAGAGCTGGATCCCACCAGCCTGAGGGCTGCAGATAAGAGGTGGTGGTGTCTGACTGTGCGACCTAAATCCTTTTCCACTCTATGCCTCAGTTTTCCCATTTGTAAGAGGCATGATAGTTTTTTCACACTGGGTTTTGGCAGTGGCCGCCTTTTTCTGTAAGAACCAAAACCGTTGCCATCAAGTCGATTCTGACTTGTAGCAACCCTATAGGACAGAGTGGAACTGCCCTATAGGGTTTCCAAGTCTGTAACCTTTATGGAAGCAGACTGCCACATCTTTCTCCTGAGGAGCAGCTGGTGAGTTTGAACTGCTGACCTTTCAGTGAGCAGGTGAGTGCTTTAACCACTGCACCACCAGGGCTCCTTCTATAAGAACAACTAGCATGAATTGAGCAGTAGCTCTGGGTCACGAGCTACCCCATACACTTATCCCTCACCCCTTCCAGTCTGTGAGTGATGGGGAAGACTGGTGTCATTTGGATCAGGACACCATCCAGGCTACTGCCTCTGCCCCAGGCTGATGGTCAGGGAGGGGAAGAGATGATTCTCGATCAAAACAAAGAGGCAGCCTTTCTGATAGTGGTCTCATACAATATTTATCCTTTTGATGCTGATTAATTTCACTTAGCATAATGCCTTCCAAATTCATCCATGTTATGAGATGTGTCGTGGATTCATCGTTGTTCTTTATTGTTGGTGTAGTATTCCATTGTGTGAATATACCATAATGTGTTTATTCATTCATCCGTTGATGGGCACATAAGTTGTTTCCATCTTTTTGCTATTGTGAACAGTGCAGAGGCAGCCTTTCTAATCAGCTCTCCATCTTTCCTTCTGAGTTCTCCTGAGATTTCTTCTCTCTAGGCTGGCTGTCTAAACACTGCCCCCGAACCTGGCCAAGCTATACCTCTGCCTAGGATTATATTCCTGGTCAGCTGTGAGCTACCTTCCCAGAGACTGCAGCTCTGCCGATCTCTCTCTGGTGGTATCCCATGGGGCACATCCAGCTTGTATGATTCCATTTTGATTAAAAAAATGGGAGAGTCCCTGGGTGGTACAAACTGTTAAGCGCCTGGCTACTGACCAAAAGGTTCACAGTTGGAATCTACCCAGAGGTGCCTCAGAAGAAAGGCCTAGTGATCTACTTCTGAAAGATCACAGCCATTGGGGGAAAAATGGTTATGGAGGGTTCAGAATTCTTGGTAGACCTCAGAAATGCTTGTGTTGTCACTGGACAAGGGAATGCGGGGCTAAGGGAACTCCACCATCACCTGGAGATGGCATATCTACCTGTAGACACACACCTGCACCTCCCTCCACCCCATAAGATCTGTATTATAGCAGCAGTAGGAAAGTTTTCTGTTGTCCACCTTTCTGGTCTTGCTAATGTGCTCACCGAAGGCCCACCATGCAGTGACTGGGGGTGGGCTGGCATGCAGCCTCTCGGGGAGCTGCCTGGGTGGGTGGGTGCATGGACACAGCCCTCCTTTTGACTTTCAGATCCGTCTGCGGTGCCAGAAGGGCATCCCACCTTCTCTGCGAGGCCGTGCTTGGCAATACCTATCAGGAGGCAAGGTGAAGCTCCAGCAGAACCCTGGAAAGTTTGATGTGAGTTTCCCTTCCTTGTCTCTCCCCCATGACAGTCCTGGATGTGCTTACCTGGACCTCAGCAGTATGAGCAACTGATGGGACCACCAGGCAAGTGCTCAAACTACACACGCACCAAGAAGTAGACTGGTCCAGTCCGTTTCCCCTGTGACTGCTGGACACTTTACTCATCTTAGCTCCAGCCCTAAACAGGCCTTATGGGTAGACAGATTTACTGCCCTCCATTCCACTTCTTTCTCCTGATAGCCACTCAGGTCAGCTCTCTTGGGCTCACTGGGCCACCTCCCAGCTCCTGGTCATCAGAAGGGACACTCAGACCACTTCCCTGACTGCCTCAAGTCCTGAGCTCTGGACTTTTAGGGGCTTGCCCAGCAGGACCCTCGACACTTCCTATCCTCCCATCTTCTAATCTTTCTCCTGCTTTGCCCAAGCCTGCCCAGACAGGACTACTTTATGACTGGTTCACCTGTGTTGCTTGTGGGATCTTCAGCCCTGGGGGTGGCAGAGCCAAACCAGTATCCTCAGAGGTCAGTGGTCAGCAAGGGTGCCCTCTGCAGCCATTTCCTCTGTTATGGATTGAGTTGTGTCCCCCAAAAATGTGTGTCAACTTGGCTAGGCCATGATTCCTAGTATTGTGTGGTTGTTTTCCATTTTGTGATCTGATATAATTTCCTATGTGTTGTGAATTCTAACCTCTATGATGTTAATGAGGCAGGATCAGAGGCAGTTGCATTAATGAGGCAGGACACAATCTACAGGATTAGGTTGTGTCCTGAGCTGGTCTCTTTTGAGATATAAAGTAGATAAGCGAATGGAGAGGAGAGGGACCTCCTACCACCAAGAAAGAAGAGCCAGGAGTGGAGCATGTCCTTTGGACCCAGGGTCCCTGGGCTGAGAAGCTCCTAGACCAGGGGAAGATTGATGACAAGGACCTTCCCCGAGAGCCGACAGAGAGAGAAAAGCTTCCTCTAGAGCTGGCAACCTGAATTTAGACTCCTAGCCTTCTAAACTGTGAGAGAATAAATTTCTCTTTGTTAAAGCCATCCATTTGTGGTATTTCCGTTATAGCAGTACTAGATAACTAAGACATCCTCCAACTCCCTCTGTTGCCCCCTGCCCCATGAGTGTCCAGGGTAAAACATTCTGCATTCACTGGGCCTCTTGGTGCCTACTTGGTCTGGGAAGCTCTTGCAGCCTGCTCCCCTAGGGAACTATGGGATGCAATTGGCTTCTTTGGGGTTGCCCAGGCTTACCAGCTAGAGTGGTCAGGGTTTCTCCCAGGTCCTTGGGACTGGCAATGGGCAGACAGTGTGACAGAGCTGCCAGCTACCAGCTATTTGTTGATATACTTCATGCTTCAGTGAACACTCCTGTCCTGCCAAACCCGTTTTCTGAGATGGGAGGGCAGGGTGGCCTAGAGTTTCTGCTGCTGACCTGCAAAGGGCAAGAGCTGCTTGCTGGCGGCACTTGACCCTAGGGGGGCAGGAAGGCTGGTGGAATGACTGCCTGGGGCAGTTCTGAATCAGAGTTACTGGACTGTCTCTCAGAGCACCAATGCCAGGCTCCACTTAAGCAGCCTCTCAACTCCAGAATCTTCTTTCCAGTGGCTACCCCCACCCCCCATTTCAAGGGGCTGCATTCTTGGTGGAGGGAAAGTTTCAGGGGTCATAGCTTACTCCAGCTGGGCTGATGTCAGTGATGCCTGGGACCCCAGGCCCTGTTCTCCCTCCCTCAGGCTGCCAGAGCACAGGCATGAGAGTCTAGAACTGGGCAGGACAGCTAGCTTCCTGGGTTCCACAGTTTAGCAAACATCAGCATGCCCAGAGGGCAGAGTTCTGTGTGTTGCATGTGTGTGGAGTGGTGCATACGAAGAGGAATTGGCCGCTGTCATGGAGTCTTGAACATTGATGGGTGAGTAAGTAGATTTGCTGAGAAAGGCCTTCTAGATGGGAAGTACTATATGCACGAAAACTCAGTGGTGGGTCCCTGCAGCAGGCCAGGGGACCAGGACAGTAGTTTGGGAACAAACCTAGAAGGACTTTGTCGGTGACAGAGCTGGCAAGAGCTGTTGGCCAGTAGCACTTGGCCCTGAGGTGGTGGCAGGAGGGCGAGGCAGGGATGAGAAACTCCCTCTGGCTGCCTTGGGTGTGTGAGACCAGAGGGCTGATGGTGGTAGCATGTACCTGTTCCCGTGCTGCCGCCCTCAGGCTCTGCGTTCACCACTGCAGACCCAGGCAGCTGACCCCAGCCTCAGGCATCAGGCAGGTTCTGCAGAGCCTGGTGGCTCCATCTTTGCCTATACTTGCTCTTTCTTCCTCCTTCCTTGGGCAGGGCAGGACCTTCCCCGTCCTTTTCTTACCTGATTTTCTTCTGTGGCCTCACTTTATGATGGTGCCAATGCCTCTTAGCCTCTCACTGAGGCTACAGGTCCAGACAGGTGACTGGGTCATCTACCAGCAGTCCCCACCTGCCTTTGATTCCCAGCGCCCTTTCTTCCCACCCCACAGGCCTTTCAGCTACCCCTTTTTCTTTCTCACTAATCCATGGGTGGTCTAGCACCTTCTCAGCTCCTCAGCTCATGGAAACCACCAGGAGAATGTGTGGTAACCTCCTCCCCTTTCTGACAAGCGCAAACCTGCATTGTGCTTAGACAGTACCTAGCCCTGGGCCAGATTTGGGGGTAAACAGGACACCCACAGGCCCATATCATGAAGGTGTATGGGGCTCTAAAGGTTGCACACCCAGCCTCCTCTGCTGTGTGCCTGCTCAAGGGCCCTCTGGGGGCTCCCCAGCCCCTCCCTGTGCCTTTCATCCTTGAACACGCCATCAGCTTTTTCCTGCAATACTCTGTCTAGTTAAGTACCTGGCAAGCCTAGTTTCTTTAGTTTAATGCTGGGACACCTCTACTTAGGGGGCACGAGAGGGAAAGGGACTTGTCTGAAGTCACCGCTGGTCAGGGCCAGGGCTGGGTCTGCTCCCGCTTAGTGTGTTTGCTGAGTACCTGGCCTTTCTCCTGGAAGCAGCCTTCCCTGATGCTGCCCCAGCCCTGCAGTCAGCTTGTGCTAATCTGCTTCCCTGCTCCAGATTTTCCTTTCCTTTTCTCTACCTCTCACTCCCTCTCTCTCTTCCTCCCTCTTTCTTTCTTTCTAATTGAAGTATAAATTTATAGAGTGAAATACACAGATCTTAAGTGTGTTTTGACATAATACATAGCCATGTAACCAACATGCAAATCAAGAACATTTCAAATGAGATGATTTTCTTTTTGTAATAGTGTTATTGTTTTGTAAATGATACTCATGCTAAAGTGTTCATGGAAGTTCAAAGAAAAGAGTAAAACTTTCTTGAAACCCTAGCACTTGTAGATGGATCTGAGGTTAATGTCCTTCCAGACAGTACTTTGTGGAGAATACAGACACACACACACACACACACCCCCTTCCTGAATAGGTGACTGGAGCTCCCCAGCACTGCTCTCACCACCTGCACAAGGAGGCGGGTAACAGAGGAATCAGGATGGATGCTGTAGGGTTAGACCTGGCTTCCAGTCCTAGCTCCACCATTTTTCTAGCCATGGGACCTTGGGCAAGTGATTTTCTTTGAGCCTCAGTTTCCTTGTCTATGAAAAGGCTATAATGATAGGACCTGTTTTTTTTGGGTTGAGGCAAGGACTCAGTGAGGTCCACAGGTATGGTAATAGGTGGTAGCTGTTGCTTTGAGGAGTAGCCTTCCATCTTAAGGATGCGATGTATGTATTTAACTGAGTCCTGAATGAAGTGCCTTTAGGTTACTTCCAGCCATAGATGTGATGGACACTGTTGTCCTCATGGGTCTTCCTGGAGTTAGGATCACTCCTGGGTTTCCAGGGCCCTTCCTCCCTTGCCCCTTTGCCCCACCCAGGCTTCTTACCTGTCCTGAAGAAGGCCGGGTTCCGTGCTGGGATTGGATGGGCATTGCCCTGGGTAGTGGCTCCTCTGATACCTAGGATAGCCTCATCCTGCCAGAAGTGGCCCCTAGCCCTTCCCAGCCCCTAATGTGTGCCCTTGCACTTGCTTCCAGGAGCTGGACATGTCCCCTGGGGACCCCAAGTGGCTGGACGTGATTGAGCGTGACCTGCACCGGCAGTTTCCTTTCCACGAGATGTTTGTGTCCCGGGGGGGCCATGGGTGAGCAGGCTGGGCCTTGTGAACTGGGAAGTGGCTCCAAGCCCTGTCCCTTAGGGGACAGAGGAAGCAAAATGAATCTGGGTGTCTCAGGGGCCTAGAATGTGGGTGCCCAAATCTCCACTATTTAGCGTTTGCCTTGTATGGTTCCCATCTAATGAGTCCTCTTAATGTCTCCTTCTGCCTCCAGGGCAACTTGTATCATTTACTCCCCAGAGTGCTTGAGCTTGCCCAGCCTGGCCCTCTTCTGGCAACAGGTTTGGGTTGGAGAGAAAGAGGGTTAGGGTTGAGTGGGTGGAGAGTCAGGTGGCAAGCAGGAGGAGAGAGATGTGAAGGGTAAGGGGACCAAGATGGACAACCGGGACAAAGCCGGCCCAAAGCTGGCAGGGCTATGCCTGGCTGAGGGGCCACACCTACCACATGAGAGTGCACTGTCAGCCCCCAGCACGCCCTTGCCTTGTATCCAGCAGCCTGCCCTGGCCTGGCCCCCAGCTTTCTCTTTGAGCCTCTATCCTCACTGTCAAATGGGGACCCTGTCTGCCTCCTCCAGTCATGTGAGAATGTGCTACAGCGAGAGACTGACCCCTCACGAGCAGGTCACCTCCCTTCTCAAGGGAAGTACAGATGCCGAGACAAGCCTGGTCCAATGGGGCACAGGCAAGGGCAGTGAGTGGAAAAGTCACACTTGTCATCCCTACTCCACTCGTTCTCTGCACAGCCAGCAGGACCTATTCCGGGTGCTGAAGGCCTACACGCTGTATCGGCCCGAGGAGGGCTACTGCCAGGCCCAAGCGCCCATTGCCGCCGTTCTGCTCATGCACATGCCTGCTGAGGTATCACCAGGCCCCTTGGTGGGTAGGGGGGTGATCGGGCAGGGAATGACCAGCAGCAAGGCCTCACGTGCCTCTCTCACCCACAGCAAGCCTTCTGGTGCCTCGTGCAGATCTGTGAGAAGTACCTGCCTGGCTACTATAGTGAGAAACTAGTGAGTGCTGCTTGGCTCAGGACCTGCACAAGGCTGGACGCCCTCTGGAGCCTCTCCAGGCCCTCCCCTCCACGGCCACTCCTGCCCTAGCCTTCTGTGGCTTCCAGGCTAAAGTCCCAAGGTCTTCTAGGCTCAGGTCCCCCTGGCTCCCGCATCACTAGTTCCACACTGTCCTCCATCTGCGCCTCCAGCTCCTGGCCGCAGGGGCAGGATCGCAGTTCCTCCAGTGCACAAAGTTCCTTCCTGCCTCAAGGCCTTGGCATAGGCTCTTTCCTCTGCCCGGAACCTCTTCTTCCCCCTCCTCTACCTCCTTACCCTGACAACCCCACCTTCGCCTCAGTTTTCAGCCCTCAGGGAGCTGTCCTTGACCACTGGCAAGAGGGGGTCCCTCCAGCACATGCTTGCCCGGTGTTCCTGTTCCTGCCGTGTTCAGGACACTTAGCCCCATCCTCCCGCCCCCAAAAGTCTCTTTGCTCATGTGACTTATGTCTGTCTTTCCTATTTCACTGTAACCTCCACACGGGGGACCACTGTGTCTGCTTTGCTCTTTTGTCATGGTATCCCCAGCATCCAGCAGAGGCCAGGCACCCTGCAGGCAGTCAGCAAACTCCTGAGGAGCGATGCGTGCCTGCTTGGTGTGGGAGCTTGAGGTGGTCCCTCTGTGCAGGTCATGGCCTCTGTGCCCCCAGGAGGCCATCCAGGGGTGGTCTCTCTCTGGTGGTCACGCCCTCTATGTCCCCCAGGAGGCCATCCAGCTGGATGGGGAGATCCTCTTCTCACTGCTGCAGAAGGTGTCACCCGTGGCCCACAAGCACCTCAGCCGGCAGAAGATTGACCCACTGCTGTACATGACAGAGTGGTTCATGTGTGTCTTTGCCCGCACCCTGCCCTGGAGCTCTGTGCTGCGCGTCTGGGACATGTTCTTTTGTGAAGGTACTGGGCTAGGCTGGGGGAGCACCCACAGGGAGGCTGTATTTCCAGAGAAACCCTCTAAAGGCCCCTTTGCATTCATCCTTGTAGGTGTCAAGATCATCTTCCGAGTGGGGCTGGTGCTGCTGAAGCATGCGCTTGGCTCTCCCGAGAAGCTTAAAGCCTGCCAGGGCCAGTACGAGACCATCGAGCGGCTGCGGAGCCTCAGCCCCAAGATCATGCAGGAGGCTTTCCTGGTCCAGGAGGTGCGACCCACCCCTTGCCCTCATCACCCACCAGGAGAGAGGGAGGAGGCCCTCTTGGGGAGGACTGGTAACCCTCTGCCCTGGAGGGTGGGTCACCTGTGCCAGGCCTTGTACTCAGCAGCCCCAGGATGATGTGGATGGACCACATCCTCCTGTCTGAACAAGGAGAGTGGGGCACAGGCTTGCAGGGCCCTCCCCACTAAGTGAGTGGTTGTCTCGGTTTTCTGAATGATGGGAATGAAGAAGAGGAAACTGTGATCCCTAACGCCCCTTCTTCCTCCCTGGCACCACATTCACAGCATCGGGTTTATTTTTTCTTTGTGATCTTTTGTCTCTCAGGGGCTGTAATGAGGTAACAGCTGTAGCCAGCTTCTCTGTGTTGATGCAAGGGCTGGGCCAGGGGTAGGGCTGACACCACTGTGTGGGGCAGAAACAGAAGAGCAATAGCACATTTTTGTACCTGCTTCTCAGAACAGCTGCTGAGGGCTGTGGCATTATCCCCATCTTCCACATGAGGAAGTGGAAGTCACTGAGTCAGTCACAAAGCCATTCCCCAAAAGCCCCCAGCCAGAAGGTGGGAGAGCAGAATCTGAGCCTAGGCAGCAGTGATGGGATCATGTGGGCAGAAAACAGGTTTTGCCCTGTCCAAGCCCTTCCCCTTCTGCCCTGTAGTTCAGCAAGTGGAATCAGGAATTCTGCGCAGCTCTCTCCTCTGAAGCAGTGGCCTCCCCTGGCATGCAGCTCTGGGACTGTGGCAACTGCAGGGACCAGACCCCCATCCTTTCTGGGGTTAGCCTTTAGTGGCTAGGGCTGAGGGATGCTGTTGGAGGGCAGGGGCCCAGACTGGGAGGCAGAGGGAGGTCCTTCTCCTCATGCCCACCTGCCCCTTGTTGCCCCACAGGTGGTGGAGTTGCCTGTGACAGAGCGCCAAATTGAGCGTGAGCACCTCATCCAGTTGCGGCGCTGGCAGGAGACTCGGGGCGAGCTGCAATGCTGTTCCTCGCCCCGGCTGCATGGTGCCAAGGCCATCCTGGAGGCAGAGCCAGGCCTCCGGCTGGCCCTGCAAACTTCACCGTCCATTCGCCTGCCCCTAGACGCCCCTGTCCCTGATTCCAGAGCCAAGCCCAAGCTGCCCAAGCAGGTCCAGAAGGAGCAAAAGGAGCAGCGGAAGCGGGCGAAGGCAAGTGGGCAGCTGGACCAGCCCCCAGCCACAGGCCAAGCCGAGGTGGCAGCTGCTGCAGGAGATGCATGCCCCTCACAGGACATGGCCCTGAAGGACCCGGTCCCCCAGAACTCAGCCCACCACTGCTCCCAGGACAGTCTGACGTCCCAGGAGAGTGAGGACACCTACTTGTAACCCTGGGCTCAGACCTCTGGGGCGGGGTCTCCACATATGTACAATGGTTCACAGACTGACACTCTAGGGCCTGCCCATCCTCTGAGGGCCCGACTGCCTGGCTGCTGGGCCTGGATGGGGTCTGACTGGTTCATCACAGACTCTGCCAGAGGCTCCTTATTTATTTTCTCCAGAGTGGAGCTCAGGCCAGCCCAGCTAGGGCAGGCAGAAGTGAGGGCCAAGTAGGTGGGTCCTCATTTGTCCTCCTCCTTCTGGAGAGATGCTCCCCAGGGCTGGGACGCTGGTGTGAGGAGAGGGTGGGGTGAAGGGTGGGGTGTTCTTTGTGTAAAATAGGAACATGGTTTTGTACAGAAATAAACAGACTTGTGTAGAGAGCTGGTGTTCAACTAGGGACCAGAAGGGGGTGCCACCCTTGGGGCCCAGCATTCTTCTTCATGCCCTACAGAGCCCCCCATCCTTGGCCTTGGTATACCTGGCCCCTAGCCTGGCACCAGAGCCTGTCTGAGCACATTTGCCAAAGGGGATGCCAAGTCCAGGGCCACCCCTGTTCCTGGCCCTCAGTCTCCCACCCCATCCTCTCAGCCCCATGTCTACCATCTTCCATGGATGAGAGGCACCAGGGTAGGATCCCAGGGCTGGGGCAGAGCAGGGCCTGCTCTCCAGGCCTTGGTCCCTACCCATTACCTTAAGGAGGTGGCTTCAGGGTCTTCCTCCTCCAAGACCTGGCCTGGATGCCACATCAGGCCCCAGTGAGGTTCTGAGTGCTCACTTTGGGTCAGGTGTTGGTGCCAGGGGTAGGGGTCCATGAATGCTCTCGTGCTCAGCCCAGGCCTCTGTCGGAGGTAGAGGGATGAGGGGAGAAGTTGGCCTCCTTGATAAAGTGCTACCTCCTATTGACTGGAGTCCTGATGGCACAGTGGTTAACAGCTACGGCTACTAACTGAAAGGCTGGCAGTTCGAACCCACCAGCCGCTCCTTGGAAACCCTATGGGGCAGTTCTACTCTGTCATGTAGGGTTGCTATGAGTCGGAATCGATTCGACGGCAATGGGTTTGTTTGTTTTTTTTCCCTATTGACAGAACACGTGCCACGAGCCAGGCTGGTTGTGTCACCTGATTGTGCCTGATCAGCTACTCCTCAGCCCAGCCTTTATTCTCTATCCCAGCCTGTTATTATCCCCATTTTACAGATGATGAAGGGGAGGATCTCAGTGGGAAAGGAACCATCCCCTGTAGAAGAAATGGAGCCAGATTTGCACCCAGGGCTCCTCAGCTGTCTTTCCTGACCTGGGTCCCAGGGTGAGCTGACTCTGCCATTGAGGGTCCAGGCAGGCGCAGCAGTCATAGCCTAGTGAGGGCGAGGACAGGGTGTCCCTGGGAGAGGCCCCCCTTCTGCTGAGGAAGCAGCTTTTCCAGTCAAACAATAGCGGCTGTTCCTGGCAGTCACCAGGCTGGGCCTGGCTGTGGGAGGAGGGGGCGGGAAAGCCTCCCTGGGAGCTTGCAGGCATAGTAGGGCCTGGGACCCAGAACGTCTTGTCCTCATGCAGCCAGGGGTACTGAGGCCCAGGGAGGCCAGCTGTTGCACAAACCTATCTGCCTCCCACCCCTCACCCCTGTGGTTTTCCACCCAGTCTGCACCTGCATGGATGAGAAGGGTGGCTTCCCAGCCTTTGAGCAACACCCTGCCCCCAACCCTCCAGGGGCCGGCCAGGATGTGGTGCTGCAGTGTCCACAGGAACCAGTGAGTGGAGAGTTCAGGACTTAGCTTGCGTCTGTCTGCCCACAGAGAGGCTCCAGAGAAAACAGGAGGCCTGCTGCGGCACACTTTCCCTTACTTGGTTCCAAGTCTCTTTAGGACTGATTCTCAAGACCGCTGAGATCTGCAGCCTGAGGACACTCAGGCCAGACCCGGTCCACAGCATGGTTGGCCTTGCCACAGGCCGGTGTAGGCAGGCTGATGGCTGCTCAACCTTGGGGTCTTCTTAGACCTGAAGAGGCTGGAGCAGAACCCAGTCTTCAACTTGAAATGAACCCAGGTTTGCCCTCACAAGCCTCAGGTCTTTGGTGGCTGCCATCACTGGGAGCCTCCTTGGGCGTGAAGCAAGTTTGGATGTGCTCACGGCAGCTGAGTTCTGCTATTGGCTGCAGGCTTTAGGAGGCCTGAAATATAGTACGCAGTGAGCTTCGGCACACGGGCTTGCCCTCTTGGGCCTGATCCCTGAAGTCTGAGCCCTGGATATTTCTGGACCAAGCACTTCTGGGCTTGGTTAGTCTTGCGTGATTTCAAGCCTCAGATCTGGGCCACCTTCAGCCCCCTACCTCATGGCATGTTAGACAGAGGTGGCTGGGGCTCTCCCTTTCTATGTGACCCTGGTGGGGAGCCTTTACTCTGAAAGTTAGGTGAGAGGAACAGGTGTGGGAACCACGCAGGCCGACCCAGGCTTCCCCTTGTCAGCCCATTCGCTGGGTTCACCAAGCAGGGAGGGGTATGTATGCATCAATACTTACCCTAGGCAGCCCTTGCTGGGGGACGAGGACTTTTGTCAGCCCCACGCCAGCCAGCTCTAGCGGCCCTGCCCCCTGCCAACCGGTGAGAGGAAGGAGGGAGAAAAGCGCCCCGACAGTTTTTGGAGGAAGCCAATCACAGGGTCGCCGGGGCTGCACATCGGACCATTACCCCTCCATGCCCCAGGTGGTCGGGGACAGCGCTCTGGTTCCAGCTCCGAGCCCCGGTTCGCCTCGCAGGCCTTCCGAGCGTCAGTGACCTCAGTCATGACCTCAATCATAAGACCCACGTAGGGGCCCAAAGGGCAGAGGCGATCTTATTCGTTCCAGACGCTTCTGACCCCCAGCACTGCTACAGTCCTGCGAAAGGGCGGAGCCCCAGGGGGGCGCGGCAAGGGCGGGGCGTGGAGGACGCAGCGGGGGTGGGGTCAGCCAGCGATCCAAGAGTTACTGCCAAAGGGGCGGAGCCAGCCGAGGTCCTGAAGGAGCGAGGTGAAGTGCTGGTGCCCGGGGGAGGCGTGGCCACCCCGGATAGGCAGCGCGGCCAGCAGGGCGTGGCCGTCGGGGAGCGGGACGGGGCGGGACGAGGCATGGCGGGGCGGGGCTGGAAGGGTCAGCGGCTTAGCAGGCGGCGCGGACGCGTCCACGCAGCTGCTCCTTTAAGCCTCCGTACCGCCCCGCGGTCTTGCCTCCCGCGCGGCCTTGGTCTGTTTGGCGGCGGGGTCGGCTCCGCGCGGGTCGGGATGGAGCTGCACATCCTAGAACACCGGGTGCGGGTCCTGAGCCTCGCCCGCCCCGGGCTTTGGCTCTACACCCACCCGCTCATCAAGCTGCTCTTCCTGCCCCGCCGCAGTCGGTGCGCTGCTGGGTTCGGGGGTTCAGATGGGGTTGGGGGCTCTGCTGTCGCTCCCGGCCAGGGCTGGGGGGCTAAGGGGCGCCGCGGGGCAGGCGGGAGTGGGTGGTGAGGACGCTCCTCCTCCGGCCGCCTTCTGGCCTAAGCCTATCCTCCACGGGACCGCCGCCTATCCGGCACCGCGAGGCCCCTGTACCAGGGCCAGTCGGGGCGCAAACAGCCTAGAGTGAGCAATGTTTAACTCCAAGTGGTGTCAGACGGGTGGATTCCTTCCTGGCGACTGCGGGGAGCTTCCAAGCGCCTCGCGTCAGGTCAGAGGGCCCGGCCTGGGGACCCAGGGCCCAAAGACCTCGGCGCTGACTCCTGGCATGGGGAAGGAGGAGTGCGTGAAGAAGCCTGGGCGGGGGTCCAGGGAGGTCGAGAGGCGGAAAACAATTTGCGATCTGGGAGATGGCGCCCACACTCCGCTGTCCCGGGAAGGAGACTGAGGCCGGACGGGAGCACGGGTCCTAGACCACCCGACGGACAGGAAGGCGTCGGCGTGATGTCTGTCTGTCCAAGGCGGATGGAGCGCAGGGAGCTCTCCACCCTAGGCTGAAGGTATCCGTCCCCCAACCAGGTGCAAGTTCTTCAGCCTCACGGAGACCCCGGAGGATTACACGCTCATGGTGGACGAGGAGGGCTTCAAAGGTGGGGACCGGGCTGGGACGTAGGAGCACGGGAAGGGACTCATCACGCGGGGGTCCAGTGCCCCAAGAGCTACGTCCCTGAAGGCAGATGGATCTGGGTTCGAATGTGGACCCACTATTCAACTGGCTGTGTGCCCTTGAGCAAGTCCCCTCTCCGAGCCTGGTTGCTGTTGTGTAAAATGGTTGTGGTTGTGGTTCTGATCTGTCAAGGTCCTATGACAGCTTTATACATGGGGCTGTGTGTGAGGGAGTTCCTGCAGCTGCTATAAACCCCTAGCCCTTACTACCCCTGGTCTTCTCTCTGATGTTGGCCACACCCTCCCTCCCTGGCCTGGGAACTCCCGGAATAGGAGAGTTGGGGAAAGAATGCAGGAGCGGCCAGCCCTCCAGGGCGGGGTCCTAGGGGGCCTCCTGGCTGTGCTGGGTGATCAGCAGCCACCCAGGCCTGGCCCCTGCCCTGGACTGGATGCCAGCCTGTTCCCTCGCTGGGCCGTGGAGCTGACGTCTGGCTCCCATTCCTGCCAGCCTGGCCCATCCTCCAGGCCTGGAATGTCACGCCAGCCAACTGGCAGTTGGCCCATCCACTCCCAACTGCTGGGCTTCAGGCCTTAGTTTCCCTGTTTGTACTACAGGAAAGTCGGGGCCGGCCAGGGGAAAGGGCATCCCCAGCCAACCTGATATGCTGGCGCCCCCTGGTGGTCCTAAGTGGTGTAAAGCCTCTGTTAACCCTCAGAACATCCTTTCGGATGGGTATACCGTTATCCCATTTTACAGATGAGGAAACAGGCTCAGAAGTTAAGTCACTTGTCCCAGGTTACACATTAAGTAAATGGTGAAATTGGGATTTGAGCCCAGGTCTGTCTGGGATGCTTCAGTCCCTAGCAGGCCAGCCTCTAAAGTGCTTCTCAGTCCTTGCATATGTGCAAATCTCAAGAGAAAAAGCTAGGGTGGGATGGGGGTCAGCCTCATTCTCCAGACCTGCCCGTACCTTGACAGGGCCCTCCAGGTATGGACAAGGAAACTAAGGCTCAGAGAGGGACAGGAGCCAGCTCTGTGGACCCTGACTGGGCATGTGCCCCTACCCACAGAGCTGCCGCCATCCGAGTACCTGCAAGTGGCTGAGGCCACATGGCTGGTGCTGAACGTCTCATCCCACAGCGGTGCAGCCACGGCAGTGCAGGCTGCTGGGGTCACCAAGATCGCTCGCTCGGTCATCACGCCACTGGCCGAGCACCATGTGTCGGTGCTGATGCTGTCCACTTACCAGACGGACTTCATCCTAGTGAGTATCTGCAGGCGCTGGTGCAGGGCAGGGTGGGCCTGAGTGCCTGGGGACCCACATGATGTGCTATCTCCCTGTGGCCAGGTGCGGGAGCAGGACCTATCTGTGGTGATCCACACGCTGTCCCAGGAGTTCGACATTTACCGTGAGGTGGGCGGGGAGCCTGTGCCCGTTGCCAGGGATGAGTCCAGCAACGGCTTTCCCCGTGCCCAGCATGGTGAGGGCTGCCCCCTGACACTCAACCTCGGGCAGGGGATCGTCTCCCACTGGGGCCTCTTCTCCTTCCCTTGTGTGGGTGGGTCTCTGGGCCCCAAGAACCCAGGCCAGTTCCTGGAGAGCATGACCCTATGCTTGGTCCAGGCTCCTCCCGCACTGGCCACTAGGGAGCGCCTCAGCCCATGGTTGCCTGTCCCTCCCGAGCAGGGCCCAGCCCAACGGTGCATCCTGTTCAGAGCCCTCAAAATCGCTTCTGTGTCCTCACGTTGGACCCCGAGACGTTGCCAGCCATCGCCACCACGCTCATAGATGTCCTCTTCTACTCGCACAGGTGGGCCTCTTGTTTGCTGTCCCCTATGTTCCGTCCCACCATCTTCTGCCTGTCCGTATGTTCTGCAACTCCATGCCCTGTTTTGGGTTCCTGGAAGTCCCTGACACCCACATAACCTCCACTGATGTTCGGGGAAGGTCCCAGACCCTGTGTCTGGAGTCCTCTCCAACTGTGTCAGCAGAGCCACTCCAGACCCCTGCCCTAGTCAGGCCCTCTCATCCCTGGGATCCTATGTCTTTGGCATAACAGATGGCGCCCCATCTGCACAATCAGGAATTTAGGGCCTTGGACAGGGGAGCAAAGTGTTCCGGAGATGGAGGGTCTACCCTGGGCTGCCTGGTACCAGCCCCTGCCCCAGGGTTAGGAGGCTGATGGGAGGAGATGGATGTGGGTTGGGTGCCTGCCTGGCAGAGTCCCTGAACATTCTATCCCTCCCTAGTGCCCCCAAGGAGGCAGCCCCTGTCAGTCCTGAACCCAACTCCATCCCGTTCTTTGCCTTCTCCCTCATTGAGGGCTACATCTCCATCGTCATGGATGCCGAGACACAGAAAAAGTATGTGACCCCCCAACTTGGGAGGGCCACATAACCATAAGCCAGCCCCAGGGAGGGTGGAGGCAGCATCAGACTTGGAGGCCCCCCGGCTGCGTGCCCCAGGGGCTCTCTGTGGGCAGGCAGGCAGGGTGCCCTACCCACCACCCCCTGCTTCCCCAGGTTCCCCAGCGACCTGCTGCTGACCAGCTCCTCGGGGGAGCTATGGAGGATGGTGCGCATCGGTGGACAGCCGCTGGGCTTTGGTGAGGGCCGCTCTTGTGTGCTGGGGGCTGGGGAGGGCCTGTGGGGGGGCAGATGACTCACCTGTCCCCTTCCTCAACCTTCAGACGAGTGTGGGATTGTGGCCCAGATCGCGGGTCCCCTGGCTGCAGCTGACATTTCTGCATATTATATCAGCACTTTCAACTTTGACCATGCTCTGGTGAGCACCCTGGGCTGGGGTGGGAGCTCCTGGAGGGAGACTGGGGCCCAGAAGTGTGGGGGGGACAGGAAGTAGTCCCAGCTGGGTCAGGAAGTTGGGGCAGCCCTAGCCGGCCTCAGCCCTGACCCTGCCCACCTGTCCGCAGGTACCCGAGGATGGTATTAACAGCGTCATCGAGGTGCTCCAGCGACGTCAGGAGGCCCTGAGCTCCTGAGCTCCATGGGGACATGTTTGCGACTTAACCCTCAGGCCTCTGGGGGCTTCTCTAAGCTATCTCCTCAAGCTCTGGGACGATACCCCATTCCTGGTGGGGGACCCCTCGTTCCACTATCTATATGTAAGCTGCTTATGGGCACCGGCTCTCATGTGAACACACGTGTGCACCCACACACAGAGTGGGCAGGCACTGGCCTGACTGCGTGTCTGCCCACGCAGGGGAACATGGTGCTCGGGGGTTCCATCTGGATGCCCCCAACCCGTCACTCTCTGCGCGGCCTCGGTGTTTGCACAGTTCCTGCCTGAGGCCCGAGCCACCCCCCTCAGCCTCCTGGGTCACTGTGCTTCTGGACAGGGCCCCTGATCTCCGTTCTGCCTCTGGCTGGGTGGTCTTGCCTGCCAGGCAAGTTCTAACACTGCCACCCTCCTGGGGCCTCTAAGAAAAGTATTTTTGCATCTCTCTCTTTCTTTTTTATTGACTTATTAATAAAAGACTTTGTAGTGACTAGGCTGGGCTCTGGTCCTTAGGGGCCACCTGGGTCTGAGTCTCAACCATGGCTCCTCCTTGGGACCTCTCTGTTCCCGCCCATGGCCCTGGTCTTGGGGCTGGCTGGCCTCACCAGGCTCGGTTCTCATGCAGCTCTGTGAGCAGTACATGTACAGATTACATTGTCCACACAAGGACCCGAAGCTTTGAGAAGTGAAGTGACTTGCCAGGGTCACACAGTGACCAGAAGACTCCTGTCCAGTGCTGTCTGGTTCCGAAGCCGAGGACCTTTTTTCATTCCTTGTTATCTCCAGAAGGTTCTGAACATGGGCAGGGACTCCTGGACACTCCTGTTTGAGGGTCCCCTGTTCTCCTCTGCCCCCTTGGATATGGCTGGCCTACGGAGGATCACTCGAGAGCACTTCTTCCAGGCTGCTGCCTGCTTTCTTTTGGCCCACTGCCTGAGTTCTACCTAGCCGTCACTAACAGCCATCCTGCCGGAATGGTGGTGGGAAGGAGCCTATCTGGGGGCAAGAGACCTGGGTGTCTACACTGGGCTTCTCCCTGCTGAGGTGCAGGGCCAGGAGAGCAGGATGGGCCTAGAGGCCCCCCAAGCCCACTCTGCCCTTAGTGGCCATGGGCCTGGGCCAGAGGCTCAGCCTTGTGGGCCTGGTTTCCTGTCAGCAGAGGGGCTCCCGCCTGCACGGTGAGGCTGAGGTTCCAGTGTGGCCCAAGGGGGCCCCACAGATGAGCCAGGGAGGTTATCAGGTGCCCTCAGCCCAGACCCACCCGTGCTAGGGACGGGAAGAAGGGTGTGACTTCAGTGTACTTGGAGGTTGCGGTGGCTCCCCAGAAAAGCCAGAGCAGGGGCCAGGCCTCTGGCAGCGCGCCCGCCTGCCCCTGGGAACTGGGGCCTCAGGCTGCAGATCAGAGGAGCTGAGAGCACGGCCTTGGCCCGGGTGAGTCAGTGGGGGACCTGGGAGACCAACCCCTTCCTCTCGGCCTCAGTTTCCCCATGTGCATGGACACCTAGAAGGCAGCTCCGTCAGGAGCCCTGGGGAGGGAGCATTTCCTTGAAGTCTGTCTTAGCGGACTGGGGAACTCTTGGCTCCTTCCCCTGGATGTATCTGGCTAGGGGATGGCCTGGGTTTGACGCAGGACAGGATTCTTGGGGCTGCCTGACCTGCAGCTGGAGAGCTCCTGACCCCATGTTGTTCTGGGAGTTTGTCCAGACATCTGTCTGTCTGCCTGTGAGTCACTCTCTGGATGTTTCTGTCATCCTGGGTCTCCAGGTGCCTCAGGCCTTGCCCAGGTCCCTCAAACCTGGCCTGGCCTCAGCTAGTTCTTGAGGCTGCCCATGGGACTGGCCCACGTAGGGGGGCACAGGCATGTCCCAGTGGGCTGGCCTGACTTGGACCCAGCCCTAGTGGTCAGTGTGTCCACGTGTGTCTGCCACATACGTGAGCATGTCTGTGTGTGGTCCTTGTGGGTTCACTGGGCCAGCTCTTGGCTTTTAGCAAGTTACAGATGGGGAGACCCTGAGACCCACCTGGGGTCAGGGGCACAAGGCCTAGGAGGTGCCTTGGGGAACCCTCAGCTTAGAGGGGGATGCCTTCAGGGGATGCGAAAGTCCTTCTCAGAGATATTTAAGCAGAAATTCAGGGTTTAAAGTTCTTACCCCCACCCTTGCCAGGTGGGACCTGTAATGTACCTGCCAAGTTGCCCCAAAGCTGGGTTCTTGGGTCCCATGTAGAGGTGGGGGAATATACCACGTGACCTCCTGATGTTCCTCCCAGCCCAGGATCTCACCTGGTGGAAAGAGCCTGAGTAGGAAGCCAGGAGGAGGCAGGGGGCCCCGTCTGCTGCTCACTGCAGTGTGAGCACAGGTAACTGCTTCCTCATTTGGCCCAGTGACCTCATCTGGACATGAGAGTGTGGTGCTCCGTTCATTCATACATTCAACACCCACTATTATTAACCCTATTTTACACAGGTGGAAACGAAGCACAGAAAGGTGAAGTGACTGGCCCAAGGTCACACAGTTGGGCCTGCAAAATCAAAATTCAAAAAAGGTTAGCTGCCCGCATGAACCTGGGGAGTTTCCCGGGGGAAGGGACACTTGAGCTGAACCCTGAGGGACAGGGATGATTTTGCAAGATCTCTTGCAATCTCAGTTGTCTGCGTCTGTGGCTGGGTGTCTGCTGCTGGTGGCAACGGGCGTGTGGGCAGGCACGCGGAGGCCTGGCCCTTGCTCTTCCCTGACCCCAGCCCGGGCAGGGTGGGTGTGTTGGGCAATGGCCGTGGTTTGTGTCTCACTTTCCCAGGCAGGCCCTGGTGTTGGATTTCCGATGGGGCTTCTTGAGCTTCCTTCTCGGGCTTAGCCCTAGCTCCATGTGGGTATGTGTACTACATGGGTGTCCGCGTATAGGACTGTGCTTTTGGGCAGCGCTGGCCACTGTGCTTGCGTCTGTATCAAGTCTGCTGTGGCAGGAAAGTGTGCGTGTGTGATGATATATGGATGCGTACAAGTGTCAGTGTGTCCCGGTATGGCTGTGTGCTTGTCTGTATATACATCTATGTGAGATAGGGGTGTCTGCTGTACATGCATCTAAGTATTTGTGAACATCAGCTGTGTCCCTGCCCACATTTCTGCTCATGTGCCTATTCCTGTGGATTTATACACATGTGAGCATCTTGGAGTATGTGTCTGCGTATGTCTGTTTTTGTATGTGGCCGGGACTGTGTTCGTGTGTGTGTGTGTGTGTGTGTGTGTGTCCCCACATGTATCCATGTGTGTCTGCCTGTCCACTTGCCTTCCTTGGACTCACATCCCTCGGGCCTGCACCTGCTGCCTCCCCCAGGCTGAACCCTGGGCCCAGCTCTCAGAAGGACCCGCTCCCCTGCAGTCATCACTTTGGAGGGCTGTGCTGGTGCCGCCCATGCCACACCCCTCTGCCCTCCTGCCCAGGCTGAGGCCTTTCCTCTTGTCCTCTGTCCTCTCTGCCCACTCCCTCTCTGTCCCTCCTTTTGTCTGCAGCCTGAAGCCATCCTGCCCCTGCTTTCTGCCCCGTTGTGCACAGAGCGCTCAGCCTGGGCTCCCTGCGGTGACACAGACCGCCCCCACTGGCTCTGCAACCCCAAGACTCCTCCCCGGCCCGCACCCCACACTCCCAGGCCTCAGTGCAGTCCATGGTTGTCTTCCCCCAGGTGGCTGTCCCAGCCTCCCTGCTGGTCTCTCTTCCATCACACGGTACCACCACCACCAGCTGCCATCACATCTTTGACTCACGGCGACCCCATGTGTGCAGAGTAGAGCTGCGCCCCATAGGATTTTCAAGGCTGTGACCTTTTGGAAGCAGATCGCCAGGCCTTTCTTCCAAAGCACCCCTAAGTGGACTCTAACGTCCAACCTTTTGGCTCGCAGCTGAGTGCGTTAACCCCGTTTGCACCACCAGGGGATTTCCATCTGTGAGGTGCCCAGCACTGTCCTAGTGTGTCCCCTCCCTCCCTGATCACCTACGAGTCTGAGCCTACGTTTGAGACCCTCTGGCCTGCACTAACTCTCCTGGCTGCCCTGTCACTCCAGCCCCTCCTCCAAGCTTGCTCTCCCCCTAAGCCGGGAGCCTTCCTCTGGACAGCTGCCGGGCCCTGTCTGAGCTGGTCAGCCCTGGCCTTTTTAATTTAAGTAGCCCTTTCTACATGTACAAATAAGAGACCTTGGACAACTGGGCGTAACAGCAGGAAGGGCCACAGGAACCCTTCTGAATCCCTTGCCTCCTTGCAGCATAACTCCTTGCTTTCCAACCCCTTAAGTTTCCTGGGGTCACTGTGTTTTTAAGGTCTGCCTTTTTTTTCTAAATTGAGGTGAAACTCACATAACATAAAATTAACCATCTTAAAGGGTATAAATAAAGGGTATAATTCAGTGGGATTTAGTACATTCTCAGTGTTACACAACATCACTTGTAGCTAGTTGCCAATGTTCTCATCTCCCCGAAAGGAAACCCTGTACCCATTAGGAGTCACTTCCCATTTGCTCCTCTCTCCAGCCTCTGGCAACCTCCAATCTGTTTTCTGTCTCTATGGATTTATCTGTTCCTGACATTTCATATAAATGGCAATATGCATCATACACTGTCTTAGTCATCTAGTGCTGCTCTAACAGAAGTGCCACAAGTGGATGGTTTTAACGAAGAGAAGTTTATTTCCTCACAGTAAAGTAGGCTAAAAGTCCAAATTCAGGGCATCAGCTCCAGGGGAAGGCTTTTTCTGTCTGTCGGCCTTCTTCTCGTCGGTGTGCTCCTGGACTAAGAGCTTCTCCACGCAGGGACCCAGGTCCAAAGGATGCACTCTGCTCCCGGCACTGCTTTCTTAGTGGTATGAGGTCCCCAACTCTCTGTTTGCTTCCCTTTCCTTTTATCTCTTGAGAGATAAAAGGTGGTGCGGGCCACACCCCAGGGAAACTCCCTTTACATTGGATCAGGGATGTGACCTGGGTAAGGGTAGTGTTACAGTCCCACC